ATTCATTGTGTAAATTAATTTAACTTACATACATTTTAATTGTACCCTGAAACAATTACAGTGCTGCCACCATAACCTACTAACCTTTTTTGGCTCTGAATGTTGGACTCATATAGCCAAATTAATGTTATATGACATATTAAACTGCAATTTTCATCTTTACTTTACATGCAGCAGCATTTATCATTTATTCAGTCAGAAGTGTGACCAGCAAAATACGTTTTAAATACAATATTATTACAGGAAACACTACAATTGATTGATACAAATAAAAACACTATAGCATTAGATCCACACACACTCTCACAGACACAGTTAGAGATGCATTCTTACCTCAGGGTGTAATCAGGTCAGTTAGCAGTCCTGTACTTCCACAAAGCATTACAGAGCTGTACGATCCACTAGTTTCCCTTCACACACAGGCTTGCTGGTCTCACACACAAACAGAAACAAATACACACACACACCTCCAACACACAGCTTCAGCTTCGTCTCTATCTACCTGCCTCTCACTTTGTACTCCAGGTGTTTTTCTTGTTTTTGCTCTACAGGAGAAAATGCATTCTCTTTCTCTTTCTCTTCGTGTCTCTCTCTCTTTCACTCTGGGCAAACATGTAGCAGCTGAAGAAAAGACGCAAACTGCACACACACACACACTTTTCTCCTATGTCCTCCCTCCTCATCCTCTCTAGGTCAATCAACCACCACGCCAGCCTCCTGTCTTCAACACGACTCTAGCTAAAAATGGGGAACACTTCACCTCGTAAACTGTTTTCCCCTTCCTCCTCTGCCTCCTCCCTGCTTTTTCTCCGTCTCCTCCTCCTCCTCCTCCTCTCCTTCTCTCTCTCTCGTCTCTCTCTCTCTTTCCTCTTTTTTCTCACTCGCTGTCACCCCACTATAAGAACTCCAACTCAAACTTACACTTTTAAGACAAACAAGAACTTTAATAAATGTAAAATGTAACAATGTGTAGGTCAAATTTTTTAATTATAGGCACAAATGAACTCAATTCAACATAAAAACATAATCAATAATCTCAACAAAAAAAACAAGTCAGTGAAATGAAAAACATCCATGTGTATGGCTCCTATGCTGGAGTAAATCCTGCTGATGGTAGCTCTGGTGTGATTACTTCACAGGGCTAAGATGGTAAATGGAGACTTGGCTTGGATGCAACGTCAATGTCTTGCTGTGCAGTAGAAAGTACAGGCCAGACCATAAACTTCACACCATGCAAATGACCCCCCCCCCCTCCTCCCCCATCTCACCCACAGCGCACAGAGA